GTTGACTTATTTCACCATGAAATGAAGATATTGTTTTGAAGCCTGAAGTTTTGCTTTGTTTTCCCAAGTCTGTACCGACACATGGAAGAGCCATTTCCGTGGCTGCATTGCCTTCCACGGTAGGTAGGATGGTACCCGTTCCCGGAGTCTCTGAGAGGTGCAACCAGTTGACATGCTCAGCTGCTAACTGGACAGGTTAGAAGTTCGAGTCCACCCAGAGGTGCCTTCGAAGAAGAGCCTGGTGATCTCTTTCGTAGACCTCAGCCCCCCAAACCCTTCTGGAGCCCATGCTCCTCTGACACACACAGGGTCCCCAGGAAGTGGGCTGACTGGGAACTGGTCCCATGGAGCCTGTTTGCTCTGTACACTCATTGAAACCACAAGAGGAAGTTAAAAAGCAAAGCGAAGGAATTCGATTGAGGCAGGTGCCTACTTCCTAGAACAAAATTGCCATGGTGCCACTTTCTGAACAACGATCGCTAAGCTCCAGGGTGACAGAAAGGCCTGTGCAGGAGGTCAGGTCAAAGCCAGAGCGCTTTGGGGCCCACTCCAGGGTGCAGCAGCAGCCCCACCCGGGAACTATGCTGAAGAGCACTCCTCCAGCCCCAGAGGAAGCCGTCGCTGCAGTAAGTGATTTCCAAGTATCTGTCTGCTGCGTGTGTCGTGCCCTGTTATCACTGCGTTCTTTAGAAAGTTAAGGGTATGGATTGTGGTGAGTTGTATGAGCCCCCATAGAATGCTTAAAAAGAAGAAGGTTAGAGAATGACTCGAGGAGAAGCTGCACCAAGAGTGAATCTGACTGGAGCAGGTGACAGGTTAGGCCGTCCCAGTCCTGACTCGGGCGGTGGAGGGAGAGGTCATGTTCAGCTTCACTGAGGACTGGAAAGGACTTGGGAAGGTTGCTAAAAGGTGTGGGCCTGCCTCCTGTGGCCACGCTTAAGTTGTTGGAAGTCAGCAGGAGGCCCAGGTACTGGGGTACAGGGCGGGGGTGAGGAGCAGGGGAGGGGCAGCACGAGTTTTCATGCTTGGATTAAGGGACGATGTGAGCTGTGCCTTCCTGGTATGTGAGGTGAAGCCACGAGGCCATTGGGCAGAAAGGGCACCCTCCCCCCTCTCAGGAGCTGGAGATGGTCCCATGCTGCCTCCAGTGTCGGGAGAGAACTGGATTCCAGGGGCTGTCCTGGATGTGTGATCTGGAAGCACATGGCTAGAGATTGCCAGGCCTTTCTCCCAGAGCGGCGCTGGGTAGACTAGGAGCTTTAGGTCAGCAGCCAAATGTGACGGTTCACAACAACCAGGGACTCCTACTGTTGGAGACAGTCCACAGTAGACGTGCGGATTCAGAGCCCTGCTGGCAGAGAGGTTATGCGTTGTGCTGCTGACTGCAAGACCACCAGTTCGAAACCACCAAACGTTCCTTGGGAGAAAGACGCTTCCTATTGCCGTATAGAGTTACGGTCTTGGAAACTCACAGGGTAGTTCTACCCTGACCTTACAGACTTGTTGTGAGTAGAAATTGACTGGAAGGCCGTGAGTTTGGGTTTTTGTTTTTAATCATTTTATTGGAGGGCTCTTACAAATCTGATAACAATCCACCATTCAATGGTATTGAGCGCACTTGTACATATGTTGCCATCAACATTTCCAAAACATTTTCTTTCTGCTTGAGCCTTTGGTATCAGCTCTTATTTTTGCCTCCCTCCCGTCCTTCCCTCCCTCGTGAATCCTTGATTGTTATTATTATTATCACTATTATTATTGTTATTTCATGTCTCCCTTCACCCACATTTCTGTTATTCGTGCCCCATGGGTGGAGGGGGCTTGACTATATATCCAATCTCGTGTGGGTGTGGGTTTTGAGTTAGAGGAAATCATGGCTGTCAAACTGAAACTGACCAGGAAGCAGGCACTCTCTGGAGAAACCACAGGATGCAGGAACAATGCCTCGGGAGCGTAACAGACACCACAGACAGGGTGACATTGTAAACGCACTGCACTCGTGACACCTATGAAGTCAATGCCTCAGTTGTTTTTCAGGTCATAAACTTCCTCCTCCTAAAATCCCACCTCAGCTGGCATAAGGCCCGTACACAGTGAGGGCACTGGAGACCGCTGGGCAACCTCAAAGGGCAGCTCCAGCGCAAACCCAGGGTTCAAACAAAGACTAAAGGAGCGCGTCACATGCCCAACTAGTTAGGCTAAGTATCCCAGACGCCCTTGCTACAAACCCCACTTTGAATTTTCGGATTCCCACTTGGCCCAACACTGTGTACACCCTCACTGAAAAGGGGACCCAGGAAAGAGCTCATACACAGCCGGCCCAAACCAGAGACCTTGCCTCCAGAAACCCATCTCCTCTACGATGGCAGCGTACGGGAACCGTTTGTGAATTCCAGGAGACCTGGCTGCCTGTGGCGACTGCCCTGCAGGTCTCTCCTGCAGGCCTCTGTGCGTTAACAGATGCCTCAAGGCTCACGCCCACCGCCCCAAGTGGTAATTCTTCACGACCCGGGCTCCGTCAGTTCATCAGCAACAACTTCTGGGCTGCCTTCATTGTCAATCTCTCCACTCGGTTTACATGGCGCCCCACTCTTTCTCCAAGAACCAGGAGCCTGGAAGTGCGGTGATTACGTATTGAGCTGCTTCGACCACATCAGCAGTTCACAAACACCAGCCACTCCTCAGGAGAAAACCTGGACTTCCGACAGTCTGGGAAGCCCACAGGGGCAGTTCCACCCTGTCCTGGAGGGTGGCTGGGTGTCAGCACCAACTCACTGGCAGTGAGAGTGTGGGTTTTGATTGTTCTCCAAGAGCCAGGCTGCATGGAGAGTCAGGGCAGCTGAGCAGCCAATGCACAGAGAGGACTGTAGGGCTGGTCCTACCATGGGACACGACGTCCCACATTGAACCATGGCGCTACATGGGACAACACTGGAGACAGTGCGGAAGGTTTTTCGGTTTTTTAAAATCATTTTATTGGGGGCTCGTACAACTTATCACAATCCATACATACACCAATTGTGTCAAGCATTTGTACATTTGTTGCCATCATCAGTCTCAAAACATTTTCTTTCTACTTGAGCCCTTGGTATCAGCTCCTCATCTTTTCCCTTCCCTCCCTGCGCCCTGCTCTCTCATGAACCCTTGATAATTTATAAATTATTATTTTGTCATGTCTTACACTGTCTAACATCTCCCTTCATCCACTTTTCTGTTGTCCGTCCCCCAGAGAGGGGGTTATATGTAGATCCTTGTGATTGGTTCCCCATTTCTACCCCATTTTCCCTCTGCCCTCCTGGTATCTCCTCTCTCCAATCTGACCCCATCACACTCAGGCTAAACACTAAGGGCATAAAACAGAGCAGCAAGGGGAGCAAAGCGATGTAGTCCCTGGGGAATACCAAAAATAGACTTTGGGGACAGAGTGTGGTACCCCATCAGACTCAAGTGGAAAACACTCTTTAAAGGCCAAAAAACAGACCTGGAATTATTTATAGGCTTTTCCTTTTTTGTCATTAACTTTCTTTTTGTCGTTATTTTGTTTTTGTGTTTTGTTATTATTTTGTTGGTTTTGTCTTCCTCTGTTGTTTTCTTGGGCTTTGCCTGGTTTTTTCACTTATTAATGTCTTTGCATGTCTATCTAGATAAGATAGGTGGGATAAACAATTCGGAGGTGAAAACAACAGGACTGGCGTTTCCAGGGGGACATGGGAAAAGGGGAGGTGGGAGAAAGGAAGGGGGTTGTCAACCAACCCAGGGACAAGGGACCAACAAGTGAACTAAAATAAATGGAGAGAAGGGCGTAGGATACCTAGTGGGGCTTAATCAAGGGCAATGTAACAGCAAGCAATTGCTAAACTCGAATGAAGGCCAAACATGATAGTGGGACAAGAGGAAAGTAAAAAAATAGAGGAAAGAATTTGAAGGCAAAGGACATTTATAGAGGTCTAAATACAGACATGTACATATGTAAATATATTTTTATGTAACAATAGGGAAATAAATCTATGTGCTTATATTTATGTTAAGAATTAAGGTAGCGGATGGACATTGGGCCTTGACTCAAGTACTCCCTCAACACAAGAACACTTTGTTCTAATAACCTGCCATTCTGTGATGCTCACCTTCCCAACACGATCGCTGAAGACAAAGTAGGTGCATAAGCAAATGTGGTGAAGAAAGCTGATGGTGCCCGACTATCAAAAGATAAGAGCGTCTGGAGTCGTAAAGGCTTAAAGATAAACAAGCAGCCATCTAGCTGAGAAGCAGCAAAACCCACATGAAAGAAGCACACCAGCCTGTGTTATGAGTTATTGATGGGATCAGGTATCAGGCATAAAAGACCCAGAACAAAAAATCACATCAATGTGAATGAGGGGGAGTGTGGAGTAGAGACCCAAAGCCTATCTATAGACAATTGGACATCCCCTTACAGAAGGGTCACAAGGAAGAGATGAGCCAGTCAGGGTGCAGTATAGCACTGATGAAACATAAAACTTTAGTTCTTTAATGCTTCCTCCTCCCCAATATCATGGTCTGAATACTACCTTACAAATTGGACTAGACCAGAGCATGTACACTGCTACAGAGAGAGCCTATGACACAGGGAATCCCGGATAGATAAACCCCTCAGGACCAGCAATGAGAATAGAGATACCAGGAGGATAAAGGAAGGTGGGGAGATAAAGGGGAATTGATCAGAAGGATCAACATATCACACCCTCCTAGGGGGATGAAGGACAGAAAAGTGAGTGAAGGGTGACAGAAGACAATGTAAGATATGAAAATAATAATCTATAACTTATCAAGGGTTCATGATGGGGGGGGGCGGGAAATGAGAAGCTGATACCAAGGGCTCAAGTAGAAAAAAAATGCTTTGAAAATGATGGCAACATATGTACAAATGTGCTTGACACAATGGATGACTGTATGGATTGTGATAAGAGATGTAAGAGCCCCCAATAGAAGTATTTAATAATAATAATAAAAAGATAGGAGCAGATACTGCAGGGAAGGGGAGAGAGAGCCATTTTCTGGCTCTCCTCCCTGGTCAGGCCTGGCAGCAGCCCTTGCACAGTGCAACCCCGTGGCTTCTGGAAAGCTGCTTAGGATGTAAGATCAGAGAGGCCCCGTGTAAACCTGAACAAGTATGCCCATGCCAACAGGTGAAGGATAAAGGACAATCAGGATGGTGACACTCAGCCCAACGGCCCACCAGCCAGGGTGCACTCACGGCATGGCAAAGCCCCAGCAGGCCCAGCAATAACCACTCCATGTCCAGGTGTCCCCCCCCCTTGGAGGCAGGGTGGGATGGAGGGCGCAGAACCCTGCTTCTCAGATGCCTTGTGGAAGTTTTATTTATTTCTTTTCTGACACATACAGGTTAATAGTATAATCCATGGAATGGCATTCTATACATTTATAAGCTTTACATATAAATAAACGTGCACACGTTGTCAGACCCCTGTCCTTACTAGAAAACATCTCTCTAACCTTAGAAGGCAGACATGACTCCTTTTATAGGTCTCTACCCCACCCCTCCCCAAATTGTCCAAGCCAGCAAGGGGAGGCTGTCCGTTGTAATGAGTTTAGGAACACCTGCTACACCTGCAACTTGGGGATGGGGAGAAAAGAAAGCAAGGCAAGTAGCTGTTGGATCACGAGGGTGGGCATGGCTGGGAGCCGTGAGCTGCGCCCCGTGGCGGGGGTGGGGGGTGTGGGTCCCAGTGGCTGTGCGATAGGAGACCTGACTGGACGGGGTGGTTCCAGATATCTGGTGGCTCTGGCAGGCCTTGCTCCTAGTTCTCGGCAAACTTGGGATTCATGACCGTGGTGGTGGCACTCTTGAAGAGGGGGTTATCCTGGTGAGAGAGTTGAGCAGGGTTAGTGTCGGGACACTGGAGGCCCCGGGCCCATATCCCAGAAAGCACCGTGAGGGAGAAGCCAGAGGGCGCAGCAGGTGTTGCTGGTGGGGTGCAGGGCGGATCCCCACGCCTTCCAGGGTGAGATGGCTGAAAGCACAGGGAGCGGGAGTCCCTGTGTGTCTGTCTGCCACCCCTGGCTGCCCGAGAGACGGCACTCACGTTGTTCCATTGGGACTTCAGTTTCTCTTTCTCGAAGCGCTTGTACTCCCTGAGGTCACTTATGTGGGTCAGGACCTTCCAGATGACCAGCAGGAGGACCCCGATGAGCACGATGCCGGCCACTGTGCCCCCCACGATGGCGGCCACCTTGGGTCCCTGCACACACTCTGTGGGGAGGCACAGGCCCACCGAGGCATAAGTTCCACACACCTGTGAGTGTCCATATTGCCCCACACTCTCCAGGGACAGGGTGCATCCCCACCGCCCTTGCCACCATCCTGGTCACCAGGAACCGGCAAAGCAGGGACAAGGCTAGACCCCCATGATCCCAAATCCTAGCCCCTTGTGAAGAGAGAAGGTTTTTGAAGGGCAAGCCCTGTGCCCAAGTAAAACCAGATGACCCTGCAGAGGCTGGATGAGACCACCTCCCTGCGGAACAGCCTGGCCTGACATCCATGGGTGTTGATTAACCCCGGAGGCAGCGGTGGCCGGGGCCCAGCACAACTTGTCTCGCAGGGTACGGAGAGTGGCCTTGCGCCCCCCTGGGGAGGAGTTCCCCAAGGAGTGAGTGGTAGGGAGCCGCAAGCTGAGTGCTGGCAGCTGAGGGGCTATAGGGAGGCACAGGGCTGGCGTAGTCCCGCCCTGGGTGCCTGTGGTACCTGCGCCTGGTCTCGGCCTGAGCGTAGGGCTCAGGGCTGCAGGGCCCATCGGCCACCCCTGGCCATGGGCAAGGTCACTGTCATTCTCTGACAGCCCCCATTCACCTTGCCCTGGTCACCAGCTTTTCTGTGTGCAGCTCAGTCATGCTGGCCCTTCCACAGAGGCCTAGCGTCCTTCCAGAGGTTAGCCAAGGCGGCCAAGGCTTTGTAACACCAGGCTAGCAGCACCTCTGGCCACCTCTGTCACCCGGAGAGCGCTGTTGAACCTGGGGACAGGCCGTCGAGCCCCAGCTCCATGCCCAAGAGGGTTCTGTCCCCATTGACCTGCACACACAACCTTGGGCCTCTGCTGGAATCTGCTTCTCCTTCTAGGGACCTTAGACCCCTGACCCCCAGGACCCCAGCTCTCTCCACAGCTTCCTCAGCAGACACGGCTGTGGGCATTTGCTTCCTTTCTTTCTGACTGAGAGTCCCCTAGCCCCCTGGACGGTGACCTGTGACACCAGCTGTCCCCTCTATCGTCGCGGCTGTCCCTGCATCTGGCCTGGCAGTGGAGCCCAGGGGCTATATCAGCCTGTAAAGCCATTGGGCTGGCTACAGAGCTGAGGTGGGAGCCCCTCCAGTTGCCAAAACCTCTAAGGGGGGCCTGGCTCCGCTGACTGCTGGGATGCCCTCTCCTCGGCCGCGGGGGCTGCAGCCCAGCCACATTCGGATGAAAAGCTCAGCTCCGCAGCCTGGCAGCTCGCCCGCACAAAGGGCACTCCTGCCCCGGACGAGCTCCCCTCACCTCGGATGTCCTTCACATGGATATGGTAACGCTCTCTCCCGGGCTGCTGCTTCATCGTGTAGTCTATCCAACAGCCCTCGGAGTCCAGCTCCCTGCAGGTCCGGCCCGGGATCACGTCCTCTTGCAGCGCCAGGCCGGAGCAGGCCGTGCTACAGTTCTGCTGGTAGGGGCCCTTGTTGAATCGCAGGCACTCGGCGCAGGAGCTGCGGGCCGGAAGAGGGGCGGTCGGTGTGGAGGTGGGAGAGCATGTGCAGGTGTGCCCTAGGTGTGTGAGAGGAGTATGTGGAGGTGGCATGTGTGCAGGTTCTGCATGAGTGTGTTCTCGGAACCGGCATATAGGCATGCGTTGGGTGCGGAGGGCCCGTGGGGGTGTGGGGCACAAGAGTATCTGCAAGGATGTGTGGGTGCATGCAGGAAGGTGTGTGTGGCAGGAAAGTGGGACACACACTTTCTCTGCTTGACAGTCCTGTTGACAAGGCACATGGAGCTACCACTGATGGAGCCAGAGCCCTGCAGCTGGAGGAGCCGTGTGGAGAGCCAGGCCAGCGTAGAAATGCTTCCACAAGACTTTCCATCCACTGGCCTGTGATCTTCTTGCTTTGGGCACCATTGCACATGCTACGTGAGTCTGTAGAAGAATTCATGGACTAGTATCGAACATATGGGCTGATATCAGACTTATGGACTTGATCTGGACTGGACTGGGATGTTTTCTCAATATATAATTACTTTTTATATAAAGCTCTTTTATACGCGTATGAGTGTCTATGGATTTGTTTCTCTAGTCAACCCGGACTAACACAGCGTGCGTATGCTCTGGGGTGTAAGGTGGTACACAGGTGTGTGTTGTGGGAGAGGGCACGTGCAGGTACAGGGCCCGCACCCTCAATGTCTGGCTTGAGATGAAGGGACTCAGCCATGGGGTGGGTGACTGTGCAGGGAAGTGGACGTCTGGCTCAGAGGGCAGTCCCCCCACTGCCCACGCCACACTCACACGTAGCGGCTGCAGGGTGAGGGACAGCCGGGGCACTCCAGGCAGAGGAATGTCTGGTAGCCCACGTCACACTGGCACTGATTGCACTGGCACCTGCCTCGCCCATTGCACACGACGCCCGGCTGGCTCAGGCAGCCTTGGATGGAGGTGCTGCACTGGCAGGCGGAGCCTTCGAATTTGTCCTTGCAGATGCACTTGCCGCATTCACAGGCCCCCCTCTCTGCAAGACAGCAGAGGCTAGCCTCAGGTCTCCCGAGACCCCCGGCCAAGAGCTGCACAGGGGTACACACCGCACAGCCCCTCCACCTCGCCCGCCTGCCTGCCCTGGCACCACCAGGCCCCGCTCCAGTGCGGCCCCTCATGGTCAGCGCTTACTCTCCCCAGTGCTACAGCCTGGGTGCTCCTGGAAACCAAGGGTGGTGGGGCATGCAGGCCCACCTTCCCCTTGCTGCCCTGCTCCCCCCCACCCCCCCCTCCCCCGTCACCGCATCCGGAACTGAGCCAGCAGCCAAAGGCATCAAAGGTTCCAGGCCCCACTGCCCACCAGAAGCACAGCCATTTACCACCTTATCGTCCGGGTCACCCTCAGCCAGCCCTCCACACCTGTGCATGGGGTCCCCTGCCTGCGCAGACCTCACCAGGGCTGTGTGGCCACCAAGTCCTTCAAGATCACAGCTGCCTTCCCCTGAGTGCCTCGCTGCAGACCCTGTGGGGTCCCTCACCATGAGGATTCCTGGCCATTACAGACCAGAGCAGAGGCCAGGAGAGACGAAGTCAACCACATGGGCCCATTTGTCTGTCTGTCTTTGTCATGGATTGAACTGTATCTCCCAGAAGGTATGCTCTCGTCCTAACCCTTAGTACCGTGTCTGGAAATCCGGTCTTTGAGATGTTATTGCTTAAGTTACCATCAGGTGACACAGAGCGAGAGACGAGAAGTGACCACCACGGAGTCGATGCTGACCCATACAGCACAGGGCAGAACTGCCCCGGGGACTTTCGGAACTGTAACTGTGTATGGGAATAGAAAGCTCCACCCGAGGAGCCACTGGTGGTTTTGAACTGCCGGTCAGGCAGTCGCAGCCTATCTCTTAACCACTATGCCACCTGGGCGCCTTTATGCAGGAGCAGGGTGGGTCTTGATACGATATGAGGGCTGTCCTTACAAAAGAGAGGAGACGCAGGCAGGGGGACATCGGGATGGTGGCTGTGGGAAGGTGGGGTAGAGACTGGAGAAACGGACCTTCCAGGATGATGGGGAGTCCCCAGACAGACACTGGGGTAGACCATCAAAGCCCCGCCTCCAGAACCTTCAGAAGGAGCCAACCCTGCAATATCCTGACTTGGGGTTCCTGGCCCCAGCACTGTGAGAGATGGCGTTCTTATTATTGCAAGCCCTCCGCCCTGCCCGCCCCCGGAGCCTCTACAGTCTCCGTGTCCCCGCTTCGGGCTCCCAGTCACCGCCTCCCCGTGCAAGGGGCTGGAGAGACTCCCTCCTAGGCCAGGTTCGTTCTACGCATGGCCGAGGGCAGCTGTGCCGTGGCCCCGAGCGGGGTCCGTGGAGCTGCGGGGGCCCACCCGCGGGTTTGAGCACCCACCCTTGCCGCCACAGATCTGCCCATCAAATCGCTCGCAGCTGAAGGTATCGCAGTCACAGTAGCGGCCGTAGGTCTGCTTCTTGGGGTCATCGGCCCGGTGGCAGATACACTCCCCACAGATGCAGTCGCCCATCCCGGAGCACACCACGGAACTGTTGTCCTTCCGGCAGCTCCCCTCCAGCTCCTGGCTGCTGCGTCCGCGCGTCCTGCACTCACAGTTCTTCCCGGTGTAACCAGGCTCACACCTGGGGGAGAAAGGGCCTGGCGCTGGAGAACCTTCACACCTGGGTCTGTGTGGGCTCTTCCGCACCCATGGGGCCATGTGGCCAGGCCGAGCCAGGGGAAAAGCTGGCTCCACCCCAGACGAGGGGCACCATGCGTGAACACAGCCCCGGGAGCCCCAGCTTTGAGGTGCTGCCCTTCCTCCGTGGCCCTGCTTGTCTGGTTTTCGGCATGCTCCCTGGCAGTGGCTCCCTCCCTCACTGCAGCCTCCACTCTCTGAGTTTGTGAGCTGGCCAGAGAAGTAGGCCTTTGTCCACCATGGCAGGGGCCTGTCAACATCTGCTTAAACTGCCCACTGGACAGACCCTGCCCATAACCGGCTGTATCTGGTGTGAGGGATGTGGGCATGACCGGGTCCTGGGGCCATTATCTGTCTGGAAGCTGTCTGGCCAAGTGGCACGAGCTGTTGGCCTAATGGTGAGGCCAGAGAGACGAGGGTCTTTCGAGACCATGGGGCAGGGGAAGGAGGCGACTGACCTGAGGCCCAGGCACCCGGCAGGGACACACATCTCACCCAGCCTCTTCTCCTCACCCCTCCTGACCTCTGAGATGTACCCCTGGTGGCTCAGAGTCCTCTGCCTGCCACCCCCTGGTGACCTGGGCCTGCCATCTGCCGAAGGGGCTAGTCACCTGGGAAACCAAGAGCCTGGGGACAGGCCCATGCCTTTCCCCACCCCCACCTCCACCCCCGCCACCAGCTCCCCTGCTCCGGCCCCCTCACCTGCAGACACCACAATGCAAGACACCCTTGCCGCTGCAGAGGCTCTGGCTGGGGCTGGTGTCTAGGCAGCGGCACTCACACTGGGGGCGTACGAGCACCATCACCGTGTCTGTGAAGCCCAGTGGGCGGATGACAAAGGACTGCTCCTGGATGCACTCCTTAGCTGTGACCTTCACCTGGAAGGTGATCTGTGGGGCCAGAGTGAGGGGGGACAGGACAGACGGCTCAGCTGCCAGCCACAGGCCAGTTCCATCTGGGCACAGGGACTAGGCTGGGCTGTCGCAGCTCAGCTGGGTCAGGATGAGCCCGGACATATAAGGGGCACCCTGCCTCTGTCAACAGCATAGGCGTATTATCAGTCACGCTGTCATAGCAGAGAGGAAATCAAGACAACTGCAGTCCCTAAGCACCTTCACTGGCTGGGCTCTTCCTGAAGACGTTAGCCAGAGGGTAGATGGCTTCACTATAAGAAAGCACCTTTCTCTGGCCTCTCATGCCATCAAGCAACCTGGGAGGGGCCAGGCTGGCACAGGGGAGGGGACTCATGAGAAATGTGCCCGGTGGCTGTTGGCACAGGAAGGAGAATGAGAGATGGAAACCTGGGGTCTGGGAGGCAGAGTCTATAGCAGCTGCGCTGCCCAGGACCAGAGTCCTTGGCAGGGTCAGCCTGAGAGAGGTTTCCGGAGAGGAAGAATGTATCTTTATTTACCATTATGTAGGAGTCAAAGGAAAGATTTATACATAACTAGGTAGGTAGGTAGGTAGTTGGGTAGGTGAGTAGGT